GCCCGCACTGAGCCTGACAAATGTGATGCATCGTACAGTTCCGACTCGCGCAGATGTGAATCTTAGCAATTTTGGTGCATCTTTATCCGTCAATACGGCAGTTGAGCGCGAAATGAAATCAATGCGCAGGGGTAAGGTGTTACATATTTTCAAAGTCTAGCATCCGATGCAGCATAAAGGCGAGTGAAAACTCACGCTAAAGGCTCCAACGGTTATTAACAGTCATCACCGCATTATATGAGATTGCAACTGGATTCACTCACCCATGGCATACTCGTTGTCGACCCCTTTTAGCAAAAAGGTTTGGGCATCGGGAATCGCAACAGCGACAACGACAACTGCACATTAAAAGTTTTTGCAACCCTTATAGCGATACGTTAAGGTGTCGTGCACCCCTTTTACCGATATGTTAAGGCGTCGGAAATTGCAAAAAACCAAAGGTGACCACGTTTACTGATGCTTTGATGGTCCGATAATGGATGTGAAGGTAACACCACCGTTATTGTGAAGGTGCGACAAAGGTTGCTTCTGAATTTAGAAGCGGTAGTCGTAAGAGGTGAGGAGGCGTTCTAAGCGAGTCATAAATTCCCTTCATTTAAGGTAAAGGAGAGAATCTTAAACTACGAATTAATTCGCAATCATCCTTTCGCACAGTGAGTTGTCAGAAAAGGTGAGGAGGCGCTTTAAACCACCACTCCCTCCGACAACAGGAAATAGCCCCCCCTGTGAGTTCCGGCTGGTTCTTAGGGATGGCGGCGACTGGAGGCAGAAACACGGGGGGAGGGGAAGAAGAGAGAGAGAGAGAGAGAGAGAGAGAGAGAGAGAGAGGGTCCGAGCTCCTTGCTTTAACCCAGAAAGGCATTGACAGATACTTGTTGAACAACGAATCAATTCGCAGTTATTGGTGTTCGACAGAGCACCTTAAGGAAGTGCCAAACAGTCATTGGCTCTCTATGCGGATTGCCAAAAGCACTCTCAAGGAAACTTGATGCCAGGTTAAAGTTATGTCGTGATCTGTTTGGTGACTAAGCACCTTCAAGAAATGTCAGTTGGTTGTCTGCGCGGATTGTCATTAACACTCTTAGGGAACGTTGATGATGGGTGTGGATTTGTTTCCCGCAGGTTATCAATTTTTGGGCAATCTTTGAAGCTGAAGTCCACCACTGGGGCTAGTTTGGTGGGTCTGTGGTTGACCTTTCTGTTGGACCTGGACCTGTTTCGAGCAGAGTTTTGCACTCGACAAACAAAATTGAACTTCAGATCCTGCAGGTTAGCAGTTGGGAAGTCTTTGATGCTCAATCGCGGTTGTTGGGAAGTCGGGCCTAGTCTCGCAATTTGACAGCGACAACGCGCTTAGAAGAACTAAAAAAAAAATCCGAAAATTTTAGGCTTCGTACATTTGCTCGTGATCGTTCCAGGAAAAATATCAAAATTTTGAAGGAAGCACTTGTAGCATGCCGACCTTGCCAAGATGGAGGAGCCATTTTCACATTCAGCAAGACATGACTCAAATGACAATCTTTTTTGCAATTTATCCATTTTTTCGATAAGACAAAATGCTTTTAAATAAAATATCATTTTTTGCGAACTTGCATAAATGATCAGTCTTCAAGTGACAACACAGAAGGCAGAGATGAGCATTTTGTTTTTTAATTGGCACTTCGTCCAACCCGCCCATAATTTTTTAAGCACCACCCGCCCTAAAAAAAAAATAAAAAAAAATCTCAAGGCGACCCAACCCACCCAAGTGTTTTTTTGAAAATTTCCTCCCACACCCAACCCACCCGTCACCCGTAAAAAACCTTCACCCTGGCACACCCACACCCGCGAGAACAAAATTACCCGCCTGCACCGTGACCCGGTACCTAATTATTTTTCACGCGCACCCGTCCATTCCCCATTGTCTCAGTCCCTTTGAACATTTGCACGCACCATAGCAACATGGCATCCTTGGATGATGGCGCAAAACTTTGAAGCATCTCTGCCTGCAGAAATTCGAATCGCTCCACAAGTTTGAAAATGGGTAGTGAACCTAAGGCTTGCCACTCGCTGTGGTTAGGTTCGATCCCCGTTGTTTTAATGGGAGCGAACACCCGTTGTTTGGGCCGTGGTCCAGCTGCCACCAGTAGAGCCTGACACATTTTTTCAAGGAGGACCCCCAAATTTTGAGTTGCCACTAGTGCGACTCTTTTTTTTTAGGACAAGAACTTTTTTTCCCAGGGGCACCAGGGTGGAGACTTTCTGTTTCCTGGGCCTCCAAACTTTGAAGTCCACAGATGGACCGCAGCTGGGAAATATGTATAAGGGGGTGGGGGGGGGGGGGGTCGGGGGTGGGGGGGAGGGTTCTTATGGGTTGTCCTGGGTCTGTGGGTCGGGTGATCCAGGCCTAGCGTTCACCCGCTTGTCACCCACCCATTCGGGTGACCCTGGCCTAACATTGACCCGCTCGTCACCCACCCAGGCTTGCTCGCCTTGACCCACCCTCATCCTACCCATGCCAGCTTATCAAGACCCACACCTGACCCAATGCCTCGTGGGTGGGGTGGGTGTGGGTGGGTGTGGGTCTTGGTACCCATTGCTCATCTCTGACAGAAGGTAACAATTTTGGCCAATCATCCATTTTGGCGAACGCCTCGTATCAATCGTTCAGCGACAAACAACGTCGAAACACATGGATCAAACACAGATACATTATGGCGATAGCACAATTGATGATCGTTTTGCCGAACTTATAGTTATGGACATTTTTTTTTTGACAACACAAAAGCTAATCATTTTGGCAAATTTGTACACATGAACGTTCTTATCAACAAATGTATGACATCCAAAGTGCGAATATGTTCGCATTTATCATACGGAAACAACAGTCAACATTTAGTGGAGAGTACGAGATGTATTCTGACGATAACAAAATTGATAATCATTTAGTGCACCGCTGAATTTTCTGGAGTCCGTAAAACAACTTCAAGCACACATACATTTTGGCGGTAATTGGTTTCCGAATTGAGAATAAGTTCGCAATTGTCATATGGAACCAACAGTCAACATTCAGTTGAGACAAGAAGGATGGTGGTTGCGGGGAAGAGGGCACAACAGAGGGGGTGAACCGTAAAACGGGGAGGTACGCGCAGAACAGGGGTGAGCCAAAATATGTGGAAGTTGGTGGTCGGGGTGGTGGTGGAGGGGGGCTTTCACACCACAAAGTCTCGCGTAAGAAAGAGATAAGGACGAAACAATTTGGCGACCAAGAAGAAATCATTGATATCTTTCACCAACATCTTACTAAATGAACCAGAGTATCAAATTCTACGAGCATGAGTGTAAGGAATGTCCACAAGAGGACAAAGATGTCCCATGAGTAACACATGAGCACAACCTAGAAACGAATAAAGGCAGCACGGCGCTGTCGCGGTCGTAGAGGACATAAGGAGAACAAACCGAAAACAAACAAAGGCAACACAAAGCTGGGATATTCACATCCGATATCTAAGCGTCTACTTAAAAGATACTGCACCACGTGGCTGGGATATTTACATCGACATCTAAACTTCTGCTTTACCTAAGCGTCCGCTGCAACCCTCTAGCTGATGTTGCGCGGCAAGGAATGAGAATAACCTGAAAATAAACAAAGGCAGCACGGCATTGCCGAAAGTTTTACGAGTAAAGTTCTCGAAATTAAGAACCCTTAAAAAAATACAACAGCACAAGGCTGGGATATTCACATCGACATCATCAAAACGTTCACTGCAATCCGCTACCTCATCAAAACAACAGCACAGCTCGAACCGGCCGACTGCTATACTACGTGAGAATAGATTCGCACTTCTGCTTATGGCCTTGCGAATAAAAAACTTCGCGTATTTTCAAAATAGGGGTATTATTCTGAGCCTTGGAGTATGTCCACCGCAATCCTCAGCCTGATGTTTGGAATGTCGCTTTGGGCTATCGAAAATGGTAGTGGATGGCCGCGTGCAATAAAAGAAGCGAAGGCGAGCATGAAAACACTGCAGCTCGACCCGTCCGACTGTTGAGGGACACCATGAACAACCACCTTGGGCTCCGGGAGATCTAGTTTCGTGTTTTGACCATATTCACTAACTGCTTCGTCACGGAGGTATTTCGTGAAGTTCGCAAACACATCGGAAGAATAACCGCCATCATCTTGTAGGAGGGACTCGTAGTACTCCAGCCGTCCTTCGCGGATACATAATAGGGTCCAATGCACTCGATTTTTATGAATAGGAATCAATGTCATGTCGTACGAGAAAATATTCACATCTTTTGTCCATCTCGCAACCCTATCATGTCGACATCCCCCACCGACGAGCTTGGTATAGAAAAACGGACCGAAAATGTAAACAGAGGGACACCCAGGCAATGTGGCGTTGCCAAGCAAGGTCAAGTACGACTCCACTACCTCGTCGAAAAGCCATCCCCCCTAGACAAGAGTCTGAAGATTTTTTTTGCTCAACAAAGTAGAACTGACCCCTTTGCGAATTGAGGAAACCACCTCGTGGCCACTGCTGAAATTTTCGCAGACGTCTTGCAACATTCTCAAGTCTGTAGCGCTAAGCTCCTCAGTAGGCAAGGAAATGCGAAAAGATGATGTAGCCCCAGCTACACAAACACCCACGAACAAGTGTGAGGAGCGATCAAAATTACCGAGGCGAATTGGCTAAGAACTGTGTGTCCTTTTTCAAGAAAAGTTATATCCCCGACTGTTGAATGTGTCCTTGGCGATGTACTTCGGATACGGGTCTTTGAAGATACCCCGCTTGGCATGGTCATCAGACCCATCAGACAAAGCAGTAACGCTTTCAATAGACATGGTTCTGCAAAGTTTCCTCCTTATCTATTCCACAAGCCTTCAGAACCCTGACAGCTCTCTGGGAAAGACGAGGCATCTGGAATCTTTTAAACAACCCTACACTTAACGACGACTTCTTCGGTAAAGCGGGCAATGACCTCCCTGAAAAACATTTTCCGCGCATGGCTTTTGAAGGTTTCATGGGCAGGGACATTGACAACCTCACACCTATAAAACATAGAAAACAACCCACAACCCACAAGCTTTTTTTTAACAAGTGGTAATAGCTACATGAGCCCATCACATCAATTTGGATGAACACAGAGCTGAACAGTGACAGATATGCGAGTGCTACTATTCACAAATCTTACCAAGCTTGGGAGTCCTTCGAGGTAAATCGCCCTCCTGTCGCACCACTGTACCAACGTCCACGGAGGATTCGGCGTTCAGCACCTCGGCCACGGCTGAGTCTCTAACCAGCTCGGTGGCAGCTGAGTCGCTACCCAACTCGATGGCTTCATGAAGTACCATTTCCCGGCCGGTACTGAGGACAAACGCTCGATCACCTTATTCTTCACCGCAACGGGTGGACGAAGAGTCATGATCTTTCTGCTCTGGATCCATCTGGATGTCGACCGCCACCTCACCACCTTCTACCACGGGTTCTTCACCTTTCTCATCGCCATGAACCCGAGTTTCCACCAGGGGTTCTTCTTCGCCTTCCTCGTCGCCAAGAAGCCGAGCTTCCACGAACGTCCACGTACGTCCTTCCTCCCCGCGGTCATTGCCTTCCACAAACGTCCACTGACCTCCCTTAACGTCACCCTCTTGCGTCGTCGCCACAACCGACCGACTGTGCAGAACCTCTTCGGACGTCCCAATCACCCGCACTCCTGCGTCGAGCCCCTTTAGCACTTTGCGAGCCGACCAATGTTGAGTGCCCTCTTCCCGCTGCAGAGCATGCGCTTCTTGTGAGAGCTCCTCTTGCCCCGGAGTTGTTGTACTCTTGCTCTCCGAGTCGACAGACGCACCCTCCGAAGCTTGACGTTCATGCTCGCTAGCCCCGATCTTCAACACTCCTGCATCGACCCCCTTCAGCACTTCGCGAGCCGGCCAGTGTTGAGTCTCCTCTTCCTGCTGCAGAGCATGCGCTTCTTGTGAGAGCTCCTCTATCCCCGGAGTTGTTGTACTCTTGCTCTCCGAATCGACGGACGCACCCTCCGAAGCTTGACGTTCATGCTCGCTAGCCCCAGTCTCCAACACTCTTGCATCGAGCCCCTTCAGCACTTCGCGAGCCGGCCAGTGTTGAGTCTCCTCTTCCCGCTGTGAGAGCTCCTCTTCCCCCGGAGCTGCTGTACTCTTGCTCTCAGAGTCGACGGTCGCAACCTCCGAAGCATGACGTTCATACTCGCTAGCCCCGGTCTCCAACACTCTGTGAGACTGCCAGTGTTGACTCTCCTCTTCCCGTTGTACAGCATGCGCTCCCGGTGAGAGCTCCTCTTCCCCAGGAGTTGCTGTACTTTTGGTCTCAAAGTCGACGGATACACCCTCCGAAGCATGACGTTCATACTCGCTACCCCCGGTCTCCAACACTCCTGCAGCGGGCCCCTCCAGCACTTTGCAAGACTGCCAGTCTTGAGTCTCAACATATGAGAATGGCGGTGAGCAAGGGGATATTGTGCCCAACTGAAGATGCGGGGGGTTGGACCTCACATTTTCTTGGCCCCGCGGAATTGTAGCGTGAGGAGCACTGCTGGCGGAAGGCCTGCAGGGCGACGTCAGTAACTCCGAATCTATTTGGACTTTGCGGCGAGCACTGCTAGAGGAAGGCCCGCAGGGCGACGTCAGTAACTCCGAATCTATTCGGAGTTTGCGGCGCTCGCCGGAGCTGAGGGAACTGACGGTCGCACTTTCGCTCCTTCGCAATGCAGGCATCCCGACCTCCAGGCAAAACGAAGACGCAGTTTCTGCCAAGGAATGGTGTTGTCGCTCAGGAGATGTTGCCATATGCTGCAGACGTTCACCCTCTTCCAAGAGGCGCAGGAGTAAGGTGTTGTGCACAGAAGACGTCGGCTGCGTACGGTGGGACGGACTCTCCTCGACATCGGGAAACAAAATCCTCGCAAACAAGTGCAAATCTACTCGCACTTGATAAGACTTCAGGGGGGCCTCGTATCGCATGTCGGAATCCCGACTCCCTACGCAGTGGCTATCAGTTTCCCTAGACTCGCGACTCCTGAACGCTCTACGCTTTCCGCCCGACCCCTTTCCGGCAGATCGTGAGTCGTCTCCTCCCTCACCTCCTCCAACAGATCTTGAGCCGTCTCCTCCGTCACCTCCTCCATGAGATCCTGAGCCGTCTCCTCCGTCACTTTCGCCGTCTCCTTCGTCTCCTCCTCCACCGCCTCCCGGATGCTGACCACCCGACGGAGGTTGCGACATGCGCCAGTCAACGCCACGAGAGGTGCCGTTTCGAGTGTGTAGAAGGCGTTCCAAACTCCAACATTTTGCTGTCGTACAACTTGTCGAGCTTCTGGCCTGCATACGCATTGACGTCCGGCAGGCTCCTTTCGGGGTTCATCACGCTTCAATGCTCCACTTGAGCTTCTCTCGCTTTTTTCTTAAATGGACCCGCTCCCAATCTGTTTAGTCCACTCCACTTGCCATCGGCTTCCTTCGTTGCCATGACCCACTTTCCATTCTTTACAGCAGGTTGGAATTTCCTGGGGTGCCAGACGACGTTGTGGCCCCAGACATCCTCCGCTGTGAACCGGTGGTGCTTCCCGTAGAAGAAGAGTCTGTCATTTTCCCAGGTTTCATGATCCTTAGGGAGCTTGTCACCAGGCTCGTACTCATAGTGTCTCTCTTCTTTCCCGTTATTAGACGATTGGTCCTCGACTGTTTCGCGCTCAAACACACGCTTCAAACCGGCAGGGGACGCGCTATATCTCCGAGGAACACCTTCCCCTTCATCATCAACCTGTGCAACCACCCGAGGAAGTGGCATGGAGTCGAAATCGAAGGTTTCAGAGTCACTCAACTCCTCCATGTCTTCAGCGTCGAAAGGGTCCTCCTCGTCAAACTGCGCCTTGTAGCTTTCGAGGGTCAGCGGTTCGACTATCACGAAGAAAATGTGCTCCAGCCTTTTCAGGAAATTTGAGACAGACTCCTTGGGTGCATCGTGGTAACCATTCAGCACACCGAACACCATGTTTCTTCGTAGATTGTATTCCAAGTCGGTCTGAGAAGGCGGTCTTGGTTGGAAAAGGAAGTCCCAAACCTCTGTCCTTTTGTTCTCCGCCAATTTCCAATACATGTCACGTTTGGGATCCCAGTTCCGTTCGCCGGTGGTCTGGACAAAAGAGCAATGGTGGCGAGGGTGCCCCACGTGTGTCTTAACGAACTCGTTAAGGTAATCGATCATCCTAGCCTCGTTCTCTAACGCAACGACGTTGCGACCTCTGCTCAGGAGCTCCCACACGACAGACGTATGCACCTTCCCAAAGAAAAAAACAGTTTGCCCAACTCTGCAAAAGTTTTTGAGAAGACTAATTAGATGAGCCGGGTTGCACTCCCTGTCCCCGTAAGTAGCTTCACAAACACTTGTCATATCGCCGTCCTCCCACTGGCTATGAGGGAACTTGTCCTCGTCTGCCACGTCGAAACAGGCCACAACCTATCCTGATGGGTCGGATGAACAGGCAACTTTCGAGCGGGTCGCCGCCGCGGGTTTGCCGGACTTGGAGCATGAGCACGGGGAGGCTTCGTTGGACTACAGACCAGGAAGATTGCGACCGTGTTGTTTGCCAGGTTCTCGCCATTGAAAACCACGTACAGACGATCATACTCCTCAACCAGCATATTACCTTCCCGGACAGTGGCTTGCCTTTGTGCATGGCGCACCCACTTCCCTGTCCTGACGTGATGAACGCTAAGCTTGGCCATGCCTTTCAAGAAACCGAGCTCCCAACGAGAGGGGAAGAAGACCACAAGTGCCCAGTGCCTTGGCGATAGGGTTTGGAGAACGCCTTGCAAAGAGGCGAAATCGTCTTCTTGCCAATCTGAGAGGAGTGTGGGATCACACAATTGAGGACGTACAGATTGCATACGTAATATCACATAATCTCGCGGATCTCAGTGAGACGACTGTGAGCTTGGGAAGGCGGACAACCGAAAGGAATAAGGCTGGTCACCCGGTTGAGCTTGTGCCATTTGATGTGCCTCACATCCCCGCTGACCCTGATCGTGTCTTGGACTTCTTCCTCCGTTCGTTGCAAGATGGAACGAACAGACTTCTTGAAAGATTTAGGGAACCTGTCATCATCCTACATTCTCTTCGTTTCGTCGAGGGACTCCTTCTCGTACGGAAGAGTACGTTTGCAAGTGTTCACGTAGTCCACCGTGCCTTGGAAATGCTTCCTCAGTTCGACCCACTCCTGCTTTGTGAGGCCCTGCGGCCCGAACTCCGCCAGAAGCTGCCCCTCGGTCCGAAAAAAAGGGCTCCAGTAGCGCCAAACCTCTGCGTCCTCCTCCAATTCAAGGAACAAGATGTAGTGAAACATGCGGAGCATCATACGGTCCACTTTCCTCGTCGCGACCACATCTTTAATTTCAGGCTTATGTTGACGTTTCATATGCTCGCCCGCCGTTTGCACGAACATTCCCCTCAACGCGAGAATGTCGCCGAGGATGAACAGTTTTTCAGCATCGGTCATGTCTGCGAGAGACTGCCAACAGAACATGTCTGGCTCGTTCACGACGACAAAAAACTTGTCGTCCAATTGCGTTTTCTTTTTGGTCGGAGGCGGCGGCACCTGGATCAGCCACCCCATCTTCGTTTCACCAGCCGCCCCTTTCGCGTCCATTTCCGGAATCGCTTGAAGACTCGGAAATTTATCTGGCATGTATCTGCCCGGCTTCGACAAGGGCGTTTTCCCGTCTTCATCCAACAACTTTTCCTCGGCCCATTTGTCGTAGAACTCCATGCCTTGTCGAAAAACGTCATCACCGACCATCACGAGCGGCATCCATTGCCTCAATGCATTCAATTTGCCAACGGCAGTGACGTGGTCCTTGTCGGCGAGCGTTGTTGCTTTACTTGCCATCGTCCAGTGAGCCCCGTTCGGACTCTTTCCCAAAAGCAGCTTTGGAACTCGAAAAACGCTTGTTTTTCGACCTCCTTACCGGAAGGATTCACTTGAATGGCCACCGGCCTTCCTTGATTCTCCCATGCCTCCCGCATGTTCTCGAAAGCGGTCTTCTGCGCACGCTGCTTAGACATCTCGTGTCTTGTGTTCTCCGTGAGACTGACCTGCAAATACCCTACAAAGTCTTTGTCGGAGAGCCACACGACTCTCGCCGGCCACGAGTGCATCTTCCACAATTCAAATATTTGCTCACCGTCCAACTCTTTCACAGAAGCCACGGTGTGTTGTACGTTGATAGGGTAATAGAAGTACTTGTCCTTGTCCTCTGGCTTGAAGACATCCTTGTGAACCCTCTCAGCTCTCTCCGGCTTATGCCTCACCGACTTGTAGATGTGTGTCAGAACCAAAGGGTTTTTCGTCCAGATCTCCCCCTTTTCATTGTGGAACTACCTTAGCATCGCACCCTTGATGTCCTCCACACCATCGCGAGTGAGACTGCGGTGATTGTAATATCTTTCCCACGGCGGGATGAAGCAGACCTTCCTGGGGTCGATGAGCAATTGAATGGGGTGCTCCTTCTTCTTGATCTCACCGTCATCGTTCCGCTCGTATTCGAGTCAAAACACGTCGCTTCGTCGTACTGCCTACCGACAATCCTTTCGCCACCACTCGTCCCCTCACCAGTCTTCCTCCTCCGAGGTTTCTTCTGGCCATCGCCTTCTTCAGCTGCCAGTTTCCTTTTGGATTTCTCTGAAGGTTCTCTCGTGGCGGCAATGCCTAGACAAGCCGAATGTCCTTCACCCATAGCTTGTCCTTCGCGGATGGTCAAACCGTCGAACCTCATCGCTTTCTTACTTGTTGTTGCACCCTCTTCCGTCGACTGCCTCTTTTTGGCTCCTTGTTCTTGTCCGCCACACATCCCTGGCGTCCTCTTTCCCGAGGCACGTTCTCCGATGTCACCTTCATCCCCGCCAATTATCGGCTCCGAGTGTCCTTTCATCCTCTTCATGCGTCGGGTTTGTTCCGCCACCTCTTCTCGCACCGTCTTCTGTCGCTCGCGCTTGACGAGTATAAGCTGCGAAGGGAATCGAGCAACTTTTACAAACAATATAATGACAGCTTTATAGCGTGCATGATATTGGTTCAGCTATTGTGAAAGGTAATCGAGCTATGAAGCGCGGATCGGCTATGGCGGACGGAGATTGAGGGTGAAGAAAAGATATCAGAACACGTGCGGTGGCGATAGCCCGACCGGACCTCTGGAGCTACGAAACAACAAAACCGGGAATTGATTCGGGGTTCAACAAGCAGCAACTGTGGCGTTATAGCATGCAGGTAGAGATAAGGCATCTGGGAATCTGTTCGGACATCAGACACAGATTAGGACAACTGAAATAGCATCTCACCTTCGTCATGCGTTGCGGGAATGACCCACGCCGGACGGATATGGATGTACGACGACCGAACCAGCTATGGTGGAGGGAAATCGAGCTACGAAGAGCGAACCGGCTATGGCGAATGAAAATCCAGCTACGAACCGGCTATGGCGAATGGAAATTGAGCTACGAAGAGCGAACTGAGCACCATGTGGCAACCGCGGCGTTGGCGGAATGAGCGAATCGAGCTAGGAAGAGCGAACCGGCTATGGTGGACGGAGGGGGCGGGTGAAGACAAGATATCAAAACGTGAGTGGAAGCGATAACGTGACTTGACCTGTGGAGCTGCCAAACAACAAAAGAGATAACACGAGGGGGACAACGCCTTTTATACTTTCCGGCAATAGGCCTCGCGTCGGGATCAAGGAGGGGCCGTATCGATTTGCATATCGCACACCAGGGCCTATAAGACGCCAGGGCCTAAAAAACGGTAAGGGCAGGTTGGGCCTCAAAAGGTCAGAGGTACCGAAAATTCTCGGTCGTAGATCAACAATTTTCAACGGCGCAGATTAACGAAGCCACTAACATGTCAGAGACCCTAAAATCTTCGCCAACTCTGGCGTGCATTGATATGACACTTCCAGAAAATAAGGGACAGGCAAGGTCATTTTCGTTGTTCTAGTATGAACCGTCGATTGGCATGATCCGAGGTACAAAGTGGAGCTTCGTTACCCCCTCGAGGTCAGGCGTAAAAATCTGGCGCGGTGGTTCGTTGCGCGCCGAGACCAGGCGACGGTCCATTGCGCGCCGAGGTCAACACTGGAAATCTTTGAGTTATGGTCTCGCAGTCATTGGGACATTTTGCAAATGTCAAATGCGTTGGATATTGAAAGTCCGCAATCCATTCCAACCCTCGCCATGCGCCATCGCCATTGATGCGCTTAGCTCATCACCATCGCAACGCAAAGCTATATCCTCCATCGCAGCCATCGCACTCGCCTGACCATCGCAACGCTGACAATCGC